TATATATATATATATATATATAGAATTATAAAAAATAAATGAGAATTATAAATTGAAATTTAACATCAAATGTTACGTATAATAAAATGTTTATTTATTTACCCGTTTCCTTGTGAAATGTTTGTTAAAGGTTAATATTTTTCTAAAGATTTATGAATTTAACGATGAGGTCAATTCAAAGTTATTAAATATGTTAATGATCTTTGGCACTCAGTGACCACCAATCGACCACCTCCGATGACCTTAAGATATGTAAAGGGGTAAGAAGATGAATGTATTAGATGTTTTGCAAAATTTAAATATTTTAAATTGCCTATCTTTAAATTTTTAAAACATAGACGATTGTTTACCCTACTAAATTTATGACAGGTATTGCTATAAAATAAGTATAACTTATTAGACTTAGTATTGAAATGTGACCGGTGACTTTATATTAAATTTTAGGAAATGGCACCACCTACTCACACGAACTTGATGTACGATTTACTGCGAGCAGTACAAGAACTGAGCAAATAGAGCCAAGCACCGCGACCACAGAATGCACCACCACAACAAAATGTACCTCCATTTTCCCAAGAGCCGTCTCAATGGTTGAGCAGTTTTGTAGGTACAAGCCTCCGACTTTCAAGGTTGGCTTCGACCCACCAGCTGTTGAGGAATTGATTAGAGGTCTAGAATGCATCTTTCGACACATTGCTTGTACAAATACACAGAAAGTACTATGCGCATAATTCATGTTTGTTGGAACAGCTAGTCACTAGTAGGAATCTGTCTCACGCACTAGGACAGAAGAGCAGCAATGTAACCTGACTTGGGAGCAATTTAAAGATGAAGTGATGGAAAATGTTTTCCATAGGCTTTGAGAGACTTTAAGGAATCAGAGTATCTACAACTCAGGCAGAGAGACATGTTGCTTACTAATTACGAAAGGCAATTTGAGCAGCTCTCAAGATATACCTCGTGTTTGGTGGATGCCAAAGTTAAGAAGATTAGGAGGTTTGAAAATGGACTACACCCAGAGATGAGCATGATCATTATGTCCCATCATTTCACCTCATATCATGAAATGTTGGAGAGGGCTCATGCTATTTCATATCAAAGGACCACATTTGAATAGTATACCCAGCAAAGCAAAGAGTAATTGGGAAAAAGAAAGTGAAGTGATCAAAACAAAAATAGAAGTAACTAGCAAAATAAAAGGCCAAGCTATTATGAATATTTTATATTTAAATTTGATCATATGTCCCCACCATAACAATAAGGCTTGACATTGCAATTGTGACAGCATTTTGCATTCTTCCTAATAAATGTAACATTCAACTATATTAAATAGGTGGTAATGTCCTACCAAACGAAGAATGCAAACAATCATGGCAAAGCTGCTAATATGTAATAGGTAAATGGCAATAAGTTATAAAAATCAGGGCCCAACACAATCGAATTCTGTAGCTACCATCTTATGCCCCAAAAGTTACGTGCAAGTCATGTAGATTTGTATTTCATGTACAAATACAGTGTCCTTATTTGCAAATAATGTGCTATCTATGTTTGTATTGCTTTATATGTTTCATATAATAGAAGAAATAAACAAAACCATTTGTATTATAATAGAAGGGGGAGATTAACCTGAAATGAACTCTTTCCATCAGCAAGGGCTATCATAAGATTTCACGTGCTACATAATGGAGTCAAAATGAGGAATAAGAGCTGATTTTGCTCGCACCATTAATCAGCATATTCCAACTAATGCAGCAACTCAAGTTGATTGCAGCAATCTTGATTTACCACCTCCATTTGGCCCCCATCAAAAAAATAGTGATTTCATATCAACTATGTTATGAATGGCACTAACATGTGTAGCATCAAACCAATAAGGAGATAGACCTGTTATCTTCATCTCGATAGCATTTTTATCCTGCATTGTTCCATGTTTATCACACTTTAGATTAGACCGTAAAGAAATAAAGTGAACAATTACAGTCCAAGAACAATCATATGGCTCTCACATTCATCTATAATATATTCAGCAGTTTGCATTTAAGAAACAAAAAATCAAAACAAAACTACAACCTTAAGAGAAATCAGTTAAGTAAAATATTTATAGGGTAAATAGCTATTTAGTAATGTTGTGTTTTTTGATACCCAATAAATCTCGGGCTATGATGTTAACGTAGGTTAATATTATTTCATAGGTAAAGGCTGATGAATGAAATAAGTCCATCAACCAAATCCATCAGCTACACCTGGCTCAATTGTATTCCCTCTTGAATGGCTTGAATTTTGGCCCGTTTAAGCCTCTTAAAGATCCAACTTGAAGCCTAACACTAGTGTATATATATTGCTATAACCCTAAACACTTTCTTGTGATGTTTTATGTGGTTTTGTAAGAAAAATCAAGGATTCCCGACTGCCTTCTTTTTCTGTGAAAAAAATCCTCTAGAAGTGTCCAAAATGCTTATTTACTTTTTGTGTAATTGGTGGTTCCTTCATAGTATACCTTTGTGGTGTCTATTCTTGTTCTACGTGGGTAAGATTGAATAGAAACTGAGGTGAATTAAATTGGTTTTGGTTTGGGAGCCGATTGGATTGGTTGTTGGTAGAGAAAGGTATGTTTGACTAAGCTCAAAAATCTCCAATTTGAAGATCATTTGAGAGAACCTTTGCAACATTTGATATCAGAGCTTCAAAGTGGTGGTTTTGGCTCATGAAACATACAAAAAAATCCAAAAATCTCAACAGAAATCAAGTCGAAGAAGCTGTCCAAAAATTGTCAAAATCAGCCTCTACTTTTCGCCAATCTAGAAGGAGTTTGGGGAAATGGAGACCACTGGCGTGACATGCAGGTGGAGGCAAACCTTGCATGGCATCGCATGTCAGAGACAAGCGACGCGTGCAGCCCATGCGCAAAGAGGAGAAGCTACGCGTGAGGGTGCGTAAGAGGGAATATCACGATTATCTCTTTCAGCACTTTGTTCTTCACATTATTTCTGACATTTTTCGTGTTAAAAGTTTTCTATTTTAGGGTCTGCAGTAGAATCTGGACAGCGTTGTTCTTCAGACGGTCGGAATTCGATCGTGATTTCTTGGTTGCTGCAGTTTCCAGAGACTTTAGGACGAATAGTGGTGGTCCTAAAGTGTTAAATTCGCCAGTTTCATAATTTATGGACTCAGATTGATCCTCTCTGATAAATTGGCTGAACCTTTTACATTATTGCACTAGCAGACCATTGTGTAGAGTGATCATTAGCATTAGGGTTGTCATTGCTTAGTAACTATTACTTGTACTAGAAAATTTAGGAATTATTTGCCCTATTTGAAGTGTTGAATTTAATAATTAAAAGTTAATAACTGCTTTTGTGTTTAATTTATTGCATTGTGGGAAATTTTGAATTTTTGTTAATATACATTCGTGTTTGCATTAATTATCCCATTAGAACACCTGGACTTGACCCATTCGAATATTCCCTTGATCTAAGATCGTGAATCTTACGAAACTCTGGAATTCTAGAATTGTGTATATTGCGACCTTAGGATTACTCTGTGTGACCTATCTGTACATTTGGTTGTTCTGTTTTTTAAAAAAATGTCTCCACACTTTGAAGTTCAAATTTTTAATGGGAAATGAGATTTTTCTATTTGGCAACAAAAGATAAAGGGTATTTTAGTCCAACAAAAGATTTTAAAAGCCATAGATGGCAAATTTTCTGTTAATTTAACAGAAGCACAAAAAGAAAAGTATGATGATCTTGCATACACTTCAATTATTTTACACATGTCTAACACCATTTTAAGAAAAGTATGAAAACTTGACTCTGCTAATGAACTTTAGGAAAAGTTGGAGGATTTATATTTGCTTAAATCTACTCTTAATAAAATGTACTTGCTTGAACGATTTTTCAACTTTAAAATAGATCCTTCAAAGGATCTTGATGACAATCTGGATGTCTTCAACAAGGTAGTTTAAGATATCTTAATTGTGATGAAAATGTATCTGAAATGTATAAGGCTATTATTTTGCTTAATTCCATGCCTGATTCATA